GCTGTGGCAGGGGCGCCGAGCTGGGAGCGCACGGAGTCAGCCGTGGTCACAGAGTGAGACTTTTCCTAGGGCTGCAGCCTTCACACCTCAGACGGGCTTCACAGCTTTGCACTGAGATACCTGCCCGCAGTTCACTGAGCACGATTTCATCGAATCAAATGAAACAGCAGGTATCCATGTGGGTTTCTAAGTTAGCACCATAACCGTCAGCTAACAGGGTCCAGAGTCCGCAGAGACGGGCAGTGCCGTGCGCCCTGGCCTCACACGCTCCCCCCCCCAGCGCATCTGAACGTGCAATAACTTAGTGCCTCAGTCAGACTCCTGCCGGGGAGACCACCTTCCAAAGTGAACTTTTCCCAACACTGGAGAACCGTACCTCATGGCTGACACTTGGTCATCTTTGAATTTCCTTCCTGGATCAAGAGCAGGGTGAGAAAACGTTCGGTCAGTGGACAAGCTCCACACGTGAGCTGAGAGTGTTAATGTCCGGTAAACGGAAGCGCCGCCCACACTGCCCGACATTGACCGTCGGCTGTGGTGTGTTTGCTTTGCTTCTTGACTGACCCACTTTCCAACGTGTTTGTTTCTTTGAACAGTTCTCGGCAAAATCCGGAGCGCCGTTGGGAGCGCCCAGCTCCTGATGTCCCAGAAATTCCAGCAGTTCTACTGGCTTTGCCAACAGAACATGGTAAGCAAACGCCCGGGAACCGGCCCTGACGGCCAGAGGCGAGCCCACGCTTCACAGCATCCCGGCTCGCGTTTGGTACAGATGCTGCAAGTTTGCAGACTATTGGAAGAGCAGAGGACACGTCCCAGTTCTGGGGGCCGTTCAGAGGTGCACGGCCTGGGGGCAGCGGGAAGGGGAGCAGGAGGGGACGGCGGTGTCCCCTGGGGTGCTGTGTGGTGGGAACTCTGCAGCCGGACGCTGTACAAGAACCTCAGGGAAGGAGAGGAAAGCGAATTACTGTTACAGCCAAGGTCACAAATAAAGACAGTGGTGTGAGGTGGCTTGAATAAGAACATGTAAACAATTACATTTAAAGAGATTAAGGAGATTTTAGAAATAATTTGGGCTTTATATTGACATGAATATACCGTGCACTGGATGAGCTGATACAGTTGGCGATACGCTTGGTTCTGATCTTCCTGACGATCAGAGGAAGACAGAAACTGTGTGTATTTGTACCTGTGTGTATTTATGCTTGTACACAGTTACACGTATGTACACTTACATACGAACCATCCACCTGTGTATAAATGTGTGTACGTGTGTGTACGTGTACACATTTCCTTATCTGATACGTCTCCTGATCGGACTAAAGAAAGCATTCACGTATCATTATTTGGAGAAGCAACCAGTGTTCACGTTACTTTATAGGCTATTTTGTAATCCATGCACTGGTTTCTTTCAGACGAAGCATTTCCATTAAAATGCAAATAGGTCTCTGGCAGGCCTCTCACAGCTGTGGTGCTGGGTGACTTGGTTTTGTTTTCTTCCTCAATTTGCAAGGAGACGGTGAATGTATAAAATGTTCTTACACATCCATGGAAGCACAGCACACCCGCGTGGCCAGTTCATCCCTTTCAATTAGGATCGTTTAAAAGTATCTTTTCTCTAATATTTTCCAATTAACCCCATTAAAGTTCATCGTGAAATTGAAAGGGTTACCGCACGCTGCCTGTGACATGGTCATAATCAACATTTAAAAGGAGGGGGCAGGGGGACTAGCGCGCCTTGAAAGAAGCATGTAGCTGTAGACACGCTTGGTTCTCGTGCTCAGCAGGCCTGCTCGGTCACTCCTTGTTTAGTTCTTCTCTTCAAAGGGCCTGGTCTGCCCGTTGGAGAGCCAGGTACCCTGAGTCCATAGGTGTGGCACGCACTGTTCATGGGAGTCTTACCCAGGGCACCTGCCCGAGCAAAGAGCATTACTTTCGCTTATAAAATGTCCACGTCCTCTCTGCCCCGAGCAGCTGCCATGAGAACTGTGCATCCTTGTAGTTTCAATGCCTCTTACATATGTCACGTGGCATTTTATGGAAACCTTTTAAGAAGTCCTTTAGAGTTTTGAAATACCGGGTGTAGCGCCTCCTTTCTGTGGGCTCCCATCTAGGACTAGACAAAAAAGTCTGAAGCACGGGGCGCAGGAGAGGCCGCGAGGTGGGAGAGAAGGCCCGGGCGGCCATGGCCGCACTGCTGGCTGCTGCGAGCTTTAGGGGTTAACAAGTTTTCAGTCAAAGGAGTGACCTAGAAAACAGTCCAAACCTGCCCCACTCTTAGGGTGGCCGGAGCAGACGCTCCTCAAATCTGGCCGTGCATCACCGCTGGGCGAGTCTGCTGCCGACACCAGGAAGGACTGACTGCGCTGGAAGCTGGTGGGCTGACACTTGTGCTTCTAGGACCTGCAGCTCTGCCCCCACCCCACCCCCCACAAGCCTTGTGGGGATGCAAATTGCATCGCGGCCTGCTGGGCCTAACTCGGCGTGTGAACAGGCCTGCGGTCCTGTGTGTGGCCGGCACATGCTGGACACCGAGAGATGCTGTGGGGCCTGGGCGTCAGAGCCCACGTCACAGGGACCTGTGCTGTGGGAGCCAAGCAGCCGTGCGGTCCACATACCGACTGGCCGAGGACGTAGAGCGCGGTTTGGCTTCGCTGGGGCAGGTACATGGCTGGGCACACCGCTGACATTTACAGGGAATCTGCAGTCATACCAGGGCACAGACGCATCACCTCCCCAAGAAGAGCGGAGGTCCTGCTGTGCCCAGTTAGGTGACGCCGACGGCCTCCGCGGGAAGGGAGCCCACAGGGCGGCTGTTTCGTCCGCCCAGTGGATTGACCGTGAGGGCAGCGGCCTGCCCTGCTGGACAGGCTCCTGGGCCGTGGCGCTGACAAGGCGTCTGTGGGCTTTCTCTCTGACGACACGGCCAGAGCCCAGCCGTCCCACGCCGGGGTCTGCACCGTCTCTCCCAGACCTGCAAAGGAGGACCGTCCGGACCTGTGACATCGCCCAGAGGAAGGCACCCACGCCGCCCTGCAGACTCAGCCGGGACCTAACACGCTCCCCGGGGTGAGCCTGCTGGGGCACGAGGAGCCGGGCGGCCGCCCCGTCATCACGCAGGGGGCCCAGCGGCAAGGGGCTGTTTCCCCACGAGCAGGGGCTGAGCTCAGATCCCGGGAGGTGAGAAGACCCAGTGCCCCGTGTGGCCGGCCTGAAACCCTGGGGCCTGCAGGACCCGCGGCCGCCGTGTCGGTCGCCAGCAGAACATCCTCCCTCCTGTAGGAGCCCTCGCCTGCGCCCCTCGCTCCGGTGGTGAGACAGCGCAGCCTCGGGCCCGGGCGCTGGGGCAGGAGCTGTTGCCCTCCGCTTGCATCACTGTCCGCACGGCTGCCCTCTGTGATCATCTGACATGGAGTTACAATCAGGGTGCTACAGGCCAAATGTCTGTGAACGCCCCAAATTCATATGTGGAAACCCTAACCCCTAAAAATGATAATAGAGGCGGTGGGGCCTTTGGGAGGCGAGTAAGTCGTGAGGGCAGAGCCACGTGATGGGATTAGGTCCTTATTAAAAGGACCCCAGGGAGCTCCCTGGCCCCTCGTCATGTGAGGCCGTGGGCGAGGCGCGCGCCGCCTGTCAGCCAGACACCGAACCTCCAGCCCCCGCCCGGCTTCCCGCCTCCAGACGTGCGTGAGGAACGTGTCTTGTTTGCGCCTGTCTGTGCTGGTGTTACAGCCGCTCAACAGACTGTGACAGGTTAAAGGAAGTTTAAACAGAACCAAACTGGAGTTCACGTTGTGCTTAATTGAATGACTTATGAGTAAGCTGAAAATTGCCCATTTTAAGCAAATTCAGATAAATGTTTACCCACCAGCAGTTCATCGGACTGTTCAGTGTCAGCTGGGCCCCTGCTGAATCGGGGAACCACACACAGAAAAATGCAATCCCTTAACCCGGGGGCTGCGAACCACGTGCCTGCGCCACACAGGACGTGGGGTGCGGTGCCGGGAGGAGCCGCGGGCTGTGGCACTAGGACAGCGCCGTGCTCGTGGGAGAGCCGGGCGGCCAGCCCCGTGATGGAGTGAAGTCACCCAATTTTAAACATACACGACCCAATGAAACTACAGCCATCAGGTGCTGCATGGAGACAAAACGCATCCTCAGGCCACATTCTGCCCATGGGCCTCCAGCGTGTGGCTCTGACACCACCTGTGCCTTCCCAAGGCAGGGAACCCGCCTGTGAGGCGTCTGTTCCTTCCTGAGGTTTGGTGTGGGTCCTCCCTCCACATGGAGCAAACTCGGTGTGCAGAACATGGTAGGGTGTCGGTGGCCGTCAGACAGAATGGAGACACAGCTGCTCCAAGCGCACCGCCACCGCCACCGCTGCTGCAGACCCTCAGAACCCCATTGCTTATGAACTGCCATGCATGTAAAAACTTTGGTATTTGCCACCATTACCAGGCTCTAAGACAGCATTTTCAGAAGGAAGCAAGGAACGCATGTGCTGCGTGTATATATTTGTAACAGACTTTATGCTTCCGAGCAGTGTCAGGGTCACAGCAAAATCGAGAGGAAGGCACAGAGAGTTCCCACACACCCCCTGCCCCGCCCCTGCCCCCACACACACCCACAGCCTCCCCCACCGTCAGCCTCCCAGATGGGACATTTGTGACACCTGACGAGGCTGCCCTGACACGTCATCGCCCAGAGTCCCCAGTTCACGTCAGGTCACTCGTGGTGTCGCTCTGTGGCTTTGGACAGATGTGTAATGACCTGTACCCACCATCACAGTGTCACACAGAGGGGTCTCACTGCCCTAAACGTCCCCTGTGCTCCCCTGTCCACCCCTCCCCCACTCCTGACAACCACTGACCTGTCCCTGTCCCCATAGTTGTGCCTTTCCCAGGACGTCCCACAGTTGGAATCGCACCGTGTGCAGCCTCTGCATGGCCGTCAGCTGTCGGCAGATGCTGTGTAAATGGTCCCCGACTATCGTGGGTCCTCCTGTCCGCTGGCTCTGAGTCTGAGCTGGGCTTGTCCTGGTCCCACTCCAGAAAGGCACTCTGCCAGCCGCACGCTTTCCTGGCCCTGAATCGCTCGTGTCTTCTCAGGACCCCAGCGCCATGCCCAGACCGACCTCCCAGGACCTGGCGGGCTACTGGGACATGCTGCAGCTCTCCGTGGAGGACGTCAGCATGAAGTTCGACGAGCTGCACCAGCTGAAGCTCAGCGACTGGAAGATCCTCGAGTCTCCGGAAAGAAAGGTAATCACGCCCCGAGGCTGCGTCCTGCGCCCGACCCCAGGCAGAACGGCCTGTGGCAAAGGCGCCCTGTCACGTGCTCCCGGCCTTCGGTCAGCGACGCAGGGTCCAGCGTGAGTGTGCGTGCGTGTGTACATGGGGTGCAATCAGCGTCATTGGCCATGGGTAGCGACTACATTGTGTAGGGACAGTTTCTGTCTTGCTCTGCGTCTTGGACATGACAATTCAGAGAAGACGCTAACCAAAATCCACGTCAGTCCAGTCTCGTTTCTTACAGGGATCGATTCCCTGAATTATTTTTGTCAAACTTTCTTTGGGTCATACTAAGATGATTTCCCCCTCGGTGACAACGACTGTCTCCTATTCGGATAATCTTTCTTGTTGCATGTCTGGGGTTGAAGACAAGAAGACATTTTGAACTTTATCGAACAGTTTGGTTATGTCAACTTCCTCTCCACCGGTCAGCTTTGGCCCTTTAAATAGGCAGAAATTTTCCACTAAACTTGAACCGTATGATCGGGCTTCTCCACTTAAGATACCATCTCTAGTAGGGCTAATAGGTATGAATTAGCAACAAATACATCACTCTCCTAATATTTTAGAGAAGTTCTAAGTGATCATAATCTGATTTTTCTAGACAGACATTACCAATTAAAATGATGAAGAAAATTAATCCAACATACTTTGAGGCAGTGCTGTTTAATATGTAGCTGAGGGTGTATATCTAAAGAATTAAACAAAAGCTGTCATCATCATCTCCTCTTCCCCAGAAAGTGTCACTTACGGTCTTGGTGGCATCCAGGCTAGAGGCGTAGGTGCCACTGCAGAGGCTGCCCACCTCCCCCTTCGCACAGGCGAACACACAGGGTGGACTAAAGCCATAAAAGGATGTAAGAAATCCAGGTGATGTGTAGTTGGCTTTTGAAGTGAAGGCTATAGTAAGTGATGGTCCCAAATGGAGAAGTTATTCTAATAAAACACCAGAAACAGAACTTGCTAACGAGTCTAAAAGACACGCAGGATCCTTCTTCAGGAGGCGACAGCTAGTGTCACCACTTCTACCTAAGCCGTTCATAGGCAGTGGCCCCCAAATGAGAACAGTGTCTTGCTGAGGACATAGCGCCCCGTCCAGAGAGTGAGCAGGTCTTGACACCATGGAGGGTTTCCGCCGTGTCCTCTGACCCTCCACTCCGTGGATCAGCGAGGCCACCTGATCACGCCCGGAGGCCGTGCGCCCCTGTAGAGGGGACTCGCACAAGAATTGTCAATGTGCAATTTCTCCAGTCCTATATTTTAGAGGCTACCAAGAGAAGAGGAACAGTGAACACAATCCTGTACTCAGAGCAGGAAACAAACGTGGAAATAGTTTAAAGGTTTAATGAATTCATTTCCCCACTGTCGTGACGCACGCCAGAAACTTGGGACGGGCTCATAGCACTGGTCCGGGTCATTTTCCGATAAGCCGTGGGAACAGCGTTCAGACGCCAAACAGTCATCCTGCACAAAACAATATGGCACGCGACTGAGGTCGGGCCGCATGAGCTCGCCCTGCGTGGGCCACACACTCACTGGAATCCTCCCCGTTGCCAGCGCACCAGTATGTCTGGCCCCTTGGGTTTTTGAGGAGGCTGAGCAGAAAAGACACAGGGAGAGTTTTTCCCCCCCAATAAGCAGATATCCGCTTAGAAAAGGAGGGGTCTGGCCCCTGTGGCCGGGCACCCTTTCCCGGGAAGGAGGGACTGGCTAGCAGGTCTCAGCATCACGACCCCGGGAGGAGCATGGGTGGGTCCGCCTTTGTCAGTGAGGGGCGGCAGGGCAGCACAGAGTGGGACCACTCACGGCCAGGCCGCAGGCGTCACTGTGCCTGGCTGCAGAGCTGTGGGGTTTACCTTTCTGAAAGGGCAAGCCTGTATTGGGGTGTGACTTAACTGAGAACACGAGCTAAGAGTCAGGAGTCATTATTTGCATCCTTTTCCCAGCAAGTGATAGCTCATTATACGTGTAATGTCGAGGGGTTTAGGCACATGGTAGAAACGTTGGCCAGTGGCTCCCTGGGACACCCACAAAAGAGGTTTTCATGAACTCCTTAGAATCAATCCAGAGTCTGTTGAAAAGATGGTGGCATGTGACAGGGATGTCCAGTGGCATCTTCCAAACCCTGGGACACTCGGGAACTTGAAATTGTGGGCATTTGCCAGTGCTCAGGCCCGATCAGGTAAGCGTTCAGCAGCAGGAACGCACGAGGCAACCCGAGGCTGAGGAGGTGTCAGCGCAGAGCTGGTCCCTTACATGGAACCTGCCAGCTCCTGTCCCCAGCCTGGGGCACTGGCGGGAAGTTACCAGTGTCCTGTGCACGAGGCGGAGCTGTCGTGCCGGGTGGGGCGGGCAGGCCAGCGGGAGCGGGTGGGTCACGTCCTGTCCGGTCCAGTGGTGTGCAGCCTGTGTCAGAGGGCGCCCGCTCGTGGGCTGGTAGTGACCCCCTGACTCCCACATTGGGTAACGCTTGTGATGCTTTTCAGGAAGAAAGAAAGGTTCCCCCTCCGATACCAAAGAAGCCCCCCAAAGGGAAGTTCCCCATCACGAGAGAGAAGTCCCTGGACCTGCCGGACAGACAGCGCCAGGAAGCTCGCAGACGCCTCCTGGCCGCCAAGCGGGCGGCCTCCTTCCGTCAGAACTCGGCCGGCGAGCGTGCCGACAGCATCGAGATTTACATCCCCGAGGCCCAGACCCGGCTCTAGGGGGGGCCGCCCTGCGTCCCTCTCCCCTCCAGGCGCTGTACAGCTTGTCACCTCCCCTCCATTCTGTCCCGTTTCCCCACCACGCGCCCCATGTTGTGTTCTCTGTGCCATACATTCCCTGGAATGCTTCTGCCGTCCGGGGCGCCCCGCCTGTGGCCAGAATGACCTTTTTTTATTCACTGGACGGCCTAACTTACAATCAGCTGTGAGGGATCAGCGTGGGGACACCCAACTTAGCCACTCTATTCTCAGAGGACAACAAGAAACATCTCTTGGGATGGAACCCAGCTCACCTTTTGTTACTTATATTTTTATAAACTGTGATAATTAGAGGCGAGAATAACAAAGAACTATAATGGGGTGCATCTCACCACTACTAGAGGCATTAGACACCCCAAGTGGAAGGTGCTACAGGCGGAAGTGCGGGAGAGGAAGGCCCCACCCCTGACCTGGGGCGCTTCCCCTAAACCCAGCTGACCCATCACTAGGTCCCTTGTCCCGGCTTTCCGGTCGTGAGGAGTCAGCTCTGCAGCCACCCGCCTCCCTACCAAGTGGCTCTCCAGATATGCAGCGGTCACAAGCCTGGCCCGGGGAGAATGTCCAGCACAGCCACATGAGATGGTCACCGATGTGGGAGTGACAGATGGAAAGAGGGCACGTTCTACTGAGAGCTGGCTCTCCTGCTGCGGGATCCCAGAGAGATTCTCCTCACTCGTGTCGTTTTTATTCCTTTGTAACTTAAACTGTCACACGCAGTTTTGTCTTTAAGTTCCCCCATTATGCTCTGTGTGATTTTTTTTATAGGTGTGTATATATAGTCTCGAACTGCTCTATCAGTTGACTTTTCAGGGTATCCTTAAAAAAAAAAACAAAAAGTTTGCTTGTTTAAAATGACAGTTGTGATGTTGTAAAAAGCTTAAGAAACATGAATGTGAGTGGTAAGTATATCTCAGTTTAAATGGTAAAGAAGAAATGTAGTTTACATTTGTATTTTTCCAGAATTCTTTTGTCCTATGCAGCATTGCTAAAGTCAAGAATTTATTTCTTGCCTGTTTTAGACATGACGGGAAAAAGGTCACGTGGTGACTTCCAGCTGTGCACGCTGAGAAAAGCACCTGGCTCTCACGGTTCTGATTGGCACCAGGGAGTAGGAAGGACTCCAATGACAAGGTTTTCCATTTGCATAGTTAAATTTAGACACCGTGACCATCCTCCCAGCCCTGCTTGTGTGCTGCTATTGAGCCCCGTCTTCAGAGGAGGAGCCCATCAGATTTGGCCATTTGACCCCAAACTCAGAGTTCTCCCTGTAGTCGGAGTGCAGGCCGGGTTGCGTTGCGAGTGGAGGCAGATGTTTGCGCCCAGCACCTCTCCCTTCGCGAGCTCAGCCCCTGGCAGAGCCACTCCCGTCACCTACTGTCGCACTTTGTCCTCTCACCTGTGACTCGCACTTTAAATGTGCCCAGCTCTGTGCAGCCTGACGCCCCTCCCGCGGGCGTCCGCCAGGCGGGCACGCCGGAGTTCTTCCTTGTCCTCATCCTCCACATCCCACGACGCACGGGGTCGGTGAGCACTGGGGATCAGAGCATGTCTAGCTTCAGAGTCTTACTTTTTTAAAGCTGAGTAGTTAAGAACTCCCCGTAGGAACAAAACCCTGTAAATTGAACCTCATATCTGGTATATATTTTACCAAACAGCCTTAAAATATATTTGGAAGCAAAAATCAGTACGAATGTATATCCTTGAAAAATGCAAAAAAAAAAATGTCCCTGAAATATTCTTCTATAAATGAAACCTATCTCCCCAGAGTGTTCAAAGCATTTTTCTACCTAAATAAATACCTAAATCCTGAGTAGTGTACAGTAACATGCTTCTTCCTGTATCCACTGCACTATGTTATAAACAAACGTATCTGCAAGCATTGGCATTTTAGACTTGAAAGCGACGTATTCACAATGAACTGCTCTCTAGAGATAAGCCACCGAAGAGCACGGCCAGCGTCTGTCCCTTACTTGGAGGGGGAGTGACACGCGCCCGCCCGCCGGCCGTACATGGGACCTCCTGGCAGCTGATGTGTCATATCTCATTTCCTCGGACTGGCACAAAACACAGCACAGCAAATTATAAAATTTGACAATAATTATTTATTGTACATCCCAGGTTCTCTGAGCCTGACTTGAATGAAAGTATTCGCTGGGTTTGGATTAATTTTTTTATGTTTTGTATACTCATTTTTATCTTAAAATCCCCAAAAGTCTTGGCCTGAACCATCCCCAGGTGAGCAAATTACCCTACAACTAAATTTGACGGCGGTCATCGATTCGAAGTGGGGAGCACATAGGAACCCGTTTGGTCCACCAAGTCCCAAAGAAGGTTATGTGATGCCCGATGAGCGTCACCTGCCCACGTGACATGAGTAAGTGCAATATATCCAGCTCTCCCACGGTGACACCCACCATGAATGCAGAGATAAGCCATGTTTACACATTTATATGTACAGACAAATAAAACCATTTAGAATACTCGTGTTAGTCCATCAGGCTAATTTATTTCCGTCACTTGTAGCAGGTACGTAACGCTGAGCTATTGTGTGGTCATTTCACCGCGTTACGAATGTGATGATAACAAAAGGTGACGCGTCCACGGGAAAATGAGAGCACAGGGTGTGTGGCCACGAGCACGGAGACAGTCCGCGGCTCTGCCCGCGTCCCGCACCCGCTGGAGACGGCGACCCGCTGAGACTCGGCTGCCTTGGAATCCGTTTCCTCACAGCCGACAGCATTGCCAAGCCAGAGGCTCCCTCGACTTTCAGAATCAAAACACAAGTATGATAAACAGGGTCCTGAATTTTAACAAAGCCCAGGAACCACGGCGCATGTCACTTGCTAGCGTTGTGATCCATGTCGTGCGCCTTCGTTTGCCGTCGTGTGTGTGATGGAAGACAGTTGTCGCCAGTGGTGACTGTGACTCTTTGTTCTTAGCCGACTTGCGTCACCACCCTAGATTGGTGTCCGAGGAGTCGATCTGTCACACGATACCAAAAAGTTACACTTTTGTTTAAATGAAATGTGGTTGATGTTTTCACCTCAAGACCAATACTGATCAGTCGAGCATTTAAAAGAATTGTGTGTTATCTGGAAAACAGATGGTATTTAAGGGTCCCTCTTCAAAGCAACCATAAGCCCCGTGACCCGGGCGGCGGGGTCTTCCTGCTGGCCC